ATGATAACAACAATAATGATGATGGTAATAGTGATCATAATGTTTGTAATAGTAGTAGCAGAAACAATAATAATAATAAAGATCATAAGGATAATTTTGCGTCTTTTATGGGGGAATTTGTCGAGGGCATTATTGTGTCTACCTGTTTAACGCCACTTCTGTCTAGGAGTCTGGAAATATCATAATGAGTAACAATGAGTTGGGATTCGCATGATTGTTTGGATCGAAATTTATGTTGCGTGTCAGTTAGTATGTTGTTTGCGTAAAGATGATTTGTGTTTGTGTATGTGTTCGAAAATTCCTGAGACAATGGAGGCGAGGGAGATGGGGCGATAATTTGATGGGTCATTCCGGAGAGATTGCATGAAGATGATTTGAAAGATGGGAGCACAGTTTTGAGGAAGAGGGGAGGGATTTTATCGGGGCCAATTGATTTGTTATTGTGTTCCACCCCCCTAATGTTGAGGCTGTTTGGTATGTTCATAGTAATGGAATTTTCTTGTGCAACTGTGCGTTGAGTAAGTGTGCTTGATGTTCTGGTGTGGTGAAAAGGGTGTCGTTATGGTATTTAACTGTAGTTATGTTAGGTGTTTTGTCTGCGTGTCTTGAAGAACTGAAAGAAATGTCTAGGGTTGTTTGTTACGTGGTCCGTGAGATATCTATTAACGTGCTCGTGTTTGGCCTTCTTTATGTTGTTGGCAAATGTTCCCTGGCATGTTGTGTAACTGAATGTGTCTGTAGTCTCTGTTTTCCTCGATGTTGTATATGTAGTTTTCTGGAGGTCCAGGAGAGTGTATGCCTATTCCAAGGTGTTTTTTGTGGTATGTGGTTGTTGATGAAAGTGCGTATGGAATGTTTCAAGCTATTCCAGTTTTCGACGAGGGGTCGGAAGACAGAAAGTTGTCTCTATTAATCGCCAGACAGTGTTATCTCTAAAGAAGAGCAAGATAGATCCTCACCTGCGTTTCTGTCTGGCCGATATGAGACGGAGAGACCAAGCCTGTTGGCAATGGTTGAAGGGCCTCCTTTGCCAACAGGGCGTGTGGTGATTTGTTTGTGAGAGTGAGAATGTATTCATGATGTCGATGAAGGTGTGTTCTTGGCACCTGTTCATGTGGAGGTGATCCAAATGTGTTTATCTGAAGGGATACGTGTGCGAGATATTTAAAGGTTTTGTAAGTATTCTGTTAGAAGATGGGGGTTTGTAATTAACGGCAAGAGTGATTTATAGTTTCAATTAATTGTTTGGTGGCGAAAAGGGCCCCATCATCTGTCCTTCTATCTTATATCTGTCCTGTGTGGTGCAGCGGTAGCGATCTCGTCAAGCAATCTTGCTGACCTGCGTTCAAATCCCTCGCCGCCAGTGGATGGTAACCCCGGCCATTCCTTGCAAACAGGGGATAACTTAGAAGCAAAATGAAACAGACAGTATGTCACACCAAGGATATCCATTGTAACAAATGGAATTAAACTAAATCTTAAAAATCTTATATCAATTGATCTGTCTACATATCACTGTCATACTAAATGGGGAGGGGGATGTTGTGCATAAGGGTTTTTCATGTTGTGTTCGTTAACTGCGTCGAAAGAGATAAAAAGATGAATGGGGGAAAGAGAGAAGGAAGATGTGGGTGTGTTAGTAGAGCAGCGCCGACTGCAAATCCACGTAATGCTGTTGTTCTCTAGTCCATTGTGCATCTGTAAACGATCCGGTGCAGCTGACATGATACCAGTAAGCGTGCTCAGACCAGTTACAACAGATATCACACTGGATGATCCTTTGCCCCCATTTCACCGCTTTTGTGCATAGCAAGCAAGAGTACTTTGGTTGGTAAGGGCCAGGGTTAATAACACCAGTGTCTCCAAAGAGAAGTAGTAGAAGGATGGTGTACCTGGCATGTGGATTTGTATTTTTGTAATTTGTTTTGGACCATTGAGTAGCAGAGAGGAGGGATGCTAAGTTCGTGCGGCGAGTGTGTGGCGAGAAATTGTCCTTGTTTTTGTATGATGTATTAGTGCCTAAAGATGAATGCTAACTGAAGATGATAAGGTGTGGCATTGTGCAGCGTTTGAAATGGGACGTCCTTACTTTTTGTGGGATTGTGTGTTTGGTGTTGTCCTGTTGCCGGCTGGGGGTACGTATCGAGTTGTTAAAGTATTAAGTTGAGGGGAAGAAGGCGCGGGTGAGGGTAGGGAGCTGAGGTGGACACAATGGAGGCCAACAACCATCATCATAAGAAAATAACATTGATAATGATAATAATGTTACGAATAAAAACAAGAAAAGTAATAATGATAATGACAACAATAATGACGTCAGTGATAATTATAATGATGATAGAGATGAATATGATGCTGATAATGATAGTGATAATGACAATCCTTGTATTCACTTGATCTTTTCTGCACGGCGCGCTTCGCTATGGCCCAAACCGCTCAGGGTGAGCGGTTTCGCCGCGCAATGCACCTACTAGCTGATTATCGTAAACAAACTGCCCTTGCCATTGAGACCTGTCGCGAGAGAGATGAATTGCTTTTCTGACTGAGACTAATAAGGGCTCGAAACCGATGTACACGACTTCTATATCACGCAGACATTAATGACTAACAATGATTAAAAGGTAAAAAGAAATATTTGTTGCAGTTCAGGCAGATTACTTTACAGGCTCTAAGTTGGTGGCTATTTTGGTTGTTTTAGAAACGGCCGTGACGCGAAGCGAACTACCCCCAACCCTTCGCTTTGTTTGCCACGCAGCGCCTCGCGAAATGAATTGTCAGACCGACCGTTCACTGGATTTTGCGCACAGTGCGCTTTACCCAAGTGAACGTAGGGAGTGATAATGATGACAATAACGATAATGATAATGATGATATTAAAATCAGTATCAGTAACAAAAGTAAGAGCCATATAAAATGATTTTGATAAGAGGAATAGGTATCTGTGTACTTGGTGCCCCTGTTATGGCTGTGCTGACTAGCTTTCTTTTATGCGTATGAAAGGAAGCGTGCATTTACCTATTCAACAGTTCTGTAATGCATTGCAGATGTTGCAGTAAAGTCTGGAAGTTTAAGACTTTATGTCTAAAGTATATTGTCAACAATTTGTTATATAAATCACATACATAAATAAGTAACAGCTGTCTATTTTAACAGGAAGAAAAAAAATCCGGAACCCAGAACCATGGATTAACACAACAACAGTTGACGAAGCAAGATCAGGATGAGCAGCCCCGCCAGCAACAGACTGAGCATCCCCCTCCCATATTTACACAGCAGCAGTTGGTGGACCAGGAGGAAGAGCTTTTAAGGAACAGAGAGGCAGAATGGAGAACGAATGAACAGGCTCGTCAGCAACAGACTAACCCCCGAGTTACACAGCAGCAGTTGGTGGACCAGGAGGAAGAGCTTTTAAGGAACAGAGAGGCAGAATGGAGAACGAATGAACAGGCTCGTCAGCAACAGACTAAACCTCGAGTTACACAGCAGCAGTTGGTGGACCAGGAGGAAGAGCTTTTAAGGAACAGAGAGGCAGAATGGAGAACGAATGAACAGGCTCGTCAGCAACAGACTAAACCTCGAGTTACACAGCAGCAGTTGGTGGACCAGGAGGAAGAGCTTTTAAGGAACAGAGAGGCAGAATGGAGAACGAATGAACAGGCTCGTCAGCAACAGACTAAACCTCGAGTTACACAGCAGCAGTTGGTGGACCAGGAGGAAGAGCTTTTAAGGAACAGAGAGGCAGAATGGAGAACGAATGAACAGGCTCGTCAGCAACAGACTAAACCTCGAGTTACACAACAGCAGTTGGTGGACCAGGAGGAAGAGCTTTTAAGGAACAGAGAGGCAGAATGGAGAACGAATGAACAGGCTCGTCAGCAACAGACTAACCCCCGAGTTACACAGCAGCAGTTGGTGGACCAGGAGGAAGAGCTTTTAAGGAACAGAGAGGCAGAATGGAGAACGAATGAACAGGCTCGTCAGCAACAGACTAAACCTCGAGTTACACAACAGCAGTTGGTGGACCAGGAGGAAGAGCTTTTAAGGAACAGAGAGGCAGAATGGAGAACGAATGAACAGGCTCGTCAGCAACAGACTAAACCTCGAGTTACACAGCAGCAGTTGGTGGACCAGGAGGAAGAGCTTTTAAGGAACAGAGAGGCAGAATGGAGAACGAATGAACAGGCTCGTCAGCAACAGACTAAACCTCGAGTTACACAGCAGCAGTTGGTGGACCAGGAGGAAGAGCTTTTAAGGAACAGAGAGGCAGAATGGAGAACGAATGAACAGGCTCGTCAGCAACAGACTAAACCTCGAGTTACACAACAGCAGTTGGTGGACCAGGAGGAAGAGCTTTTAAGGAACAGAGAGGCAGAATGGAGAACGAATGAACAGGATCGTCAGCAACAGACTAACCCCCGAGTTACACAGCAGCAGTTGGTGGACCAGGAGGAAGAGCTTTTAAGGAACAGAGAGGCAGAATGGAGAACGAATGAACAGGCTCGTCAGCAACAGACTAAACCCCGAGTTACACAGCAGCAGTTGGTGGACCAGGAGGAAGAGCTTTTAAGGAACAGAGAGGCAGAATGGAGAACGAATGAACAGGCTCGTCAGCAACAGACTAAACCCCGAGTTACACAGCAGCAGTTGGTGGACCAGGAGGAAGAGCTTTTAAGGAACAGAGAGGCAGAATGGAGAACGAATGAACAGGCTCGTCAGCAACAGACTAAACCCTCGAGTTACACAGCAGCAGTTGGTGGACCAGGAGGAAGAGCTTTTAAGGAACAGAGAGGCAGAATGGAGAACGAATGAACAGGCTCGTCAGCAACAGACTAAACCCCGAGTTACACAGCAGCAGTTGGTGGACCAGGAGGAAGAGCTTTTAAGGAACAGAGAGGCAGAATGGAGAACGAATGAACAGGATCGTCAGCAACAGACTAAACCTCGAGTTACACAGCAGCAGTTGGTGGACCAGGAGGAAGAGCTTTTAAGGAACAGAGAGGCAGAATGGAGAACGAATGAACAGGCTCGTCAGCAACAGACTAAACCCCGAGTTACACAGCAGCAGTTGGTGGACCAGGAGGAAGAGCTTTTAAGGAACAGAGAGGCAGAATGGAGAACGAATGAACAGGCTCGTCAGCAACAGTTTGGATGTTGACAATACTTTGCTCATCTCCCACACAGATTAATGCAGCAATAGTAGGTTGACCAATAGGGGGAACTCTTAACCCATTCGCGAAGGGCTGTCACTTATGCGTGACATGCCCACTGTGAGTATATGTGTTTCATTGTTTTTACAGATGGCTGTCTCGCCCGTTTACCCTTTTCTTTAATTTACAAAAATATTTTACGTTATCTTATTTTGCTATTACTATTGTTTATAATATTATTGTAATTACAATGTTTATAATAAAAATAGTACCATCGATATTCATAGCACTAGTAAAAAATACATTTTCCCTCCAATTCAAAGAAAGGTGAAATTAGGTAAGGCAGAGCCATCTATGTGTAGAGACATTTCACAAAAAAAAATAAAATAATAAGCACAGCATTTTCCCCTTTTTTATTTTCGCGAATGAGTTAAGCCAGTCTTCTTAGTGATCTCAGGACTCCTTTAAGATTACTTTCGTTACATTCTCTATGCAGATTCAAGGTGCACTCCTCTCATAAATATATCAAGATTAAAAAGAGGTGGACACAAATATCATTTCTATGACAGGATATTCATATAATTTATGGTTGGCTTTAAATTGCACACAGGTATTCAAAACAGTTAGATACCATAAAATAACACTTCATTCATAGCATTCGTCTGCTTTGAACGCCCGTGAGGCGATACTATGTGCCTTACGTACTGTTCAAAATAAAAATTGCTCAACAATGATATTCCCACAAATTTATCGATATCGCTGGAAATGAAAGTGATCTTTTCTCTTAGACAAAAAATCATGGAGAAATAAACACGGTATAGGATCTTGTCATTCATATGTTTTAGCCAGCATGTAACATCTCTCTTGTTTTCCCATTGTCAAAAACTGTTTGGTACTCTTCCACATGTAGCAGGTTTGAGTACACAGAGGTTTTGCACTTTTCTCAAACAGTAACCAGGGCATTGGATACATGGGTGGCTCATACCCATAAATAAAACTTGCAGTTCTCAGAATGCTGGATCCTGTCCACACTGATTAACGATAATAGCATCAGACAAGTACAGTACTGGCATCAGGAAAAATTTCGTTCCTTGGAGGAATACTTGACATGCGTATCAGCTGTTGCTGTGCAGCTTAATATCATTATTCAAAGAACAGGTGCTCAAAGCAGCGGCCTGTGTTATGATAAAGTGTATCTATACAGAAAGTTGAAATTTCTATAAGGAATAAAGGGGTATGATTGTGAAGTGTTATGCAGTGTAAAAGGTAAGGTAATGGAAAACAACTAAAGATGCATGTTCTGTTGTCTTTCGTTAGGGTAATGAGAATGCTAGTAGGCTAGTAAGAAAATGTAGTATGTTACAAGTGAACATATGTAGAGATACTGTTACGACATTTTTGTCCAGACCGAGAGACCTAATCAATGACCAAACAACCATCCTGAGACATTGTTAAAATCTACATTGAGATTGAGAAAAAATACAGGTCTCTAACAGAGCAAAGGACCTTTCTCTAGAAAGCTGGAATTTGTAGGTGAATGATTAATAACCATTTTAATCTTCAGTGTCACAGAACTTTTTTTATCTGAGTCTTTGTGGTTAAGTTCCCTGTGTGATACTTTGGGCAGAAGGGATGGCTGACAGCTGTGTTTAAGCAGACACCGCTGCTACTGGTGCCAAGCAGGGTTGGAGAAATTGTAATTGTATTTTAACTGACATGGAATTCATTATAGAAAATGATGTCATTGCTACTGTAATTATAACTGTGAATTCAGAACTTAGGGAATTAATTGTAATTATTATGGAATGTATTGTAAAACAATTGTAATTTAACAGTAAATGTGGAAAATAAGGTAGCAGCTTTTATATATGACGTGTCATAGTAGAAAATTTGTGTATATATTATGAAATACCCATAACGAACCGACTCCTATAACATATTACCTCTTAGACATGCCATACAGTGAGTTTTTTATTGTTGTTGTTGAAACATGTAGAGGAAGAAACTCATTATCCATTACTTTGCTGGAAAGAAGTGCCACAATCTTTGAATCCACTGAAGAATCTTGGGGGAGAGGCAATTGGGTGTTGCTGGAACTACTTTACCGCAAATCGAACTTAACTTGGGGTCACCTATTCTAACATAAACCTACTTTCAGTTTCTTTGAAAATGAAATGTACTTTTTTTATTGGTTAATTATGTTTTCTTCCAATTTACATTATTTGTTTCTACATTTGCTTTTAATGAAAACTAATAACCATAGGAATTTGTTGTTGCATATTTGTTCAATAAATGACAATACATGTGTTTATAATTGTTTTTTTTTTTTGTTTTTTGTTTTTTTGTAAGTACTTGTAACTGAGATTATGAACTGCCAAGAAAGTACACTTGTTCCGAAATAAACTTCAGAAAGTATATAGGACTTTTCCCAAACTTTAACATATGACAATATTTAAGGTAGATATAGAGAAATCGCTTACTCTTATTGCCTTACTTCACTCAGAAACCCTCCCTAAATAGATCCTTACTGTAAACATAAGAAAACAATATATAGTTTTAACTGCAGCAACTGTATCAGCAATTTCTTTTTTCAAGAAATTGCAGGATTAAATCACACTACGACACGCCACTTCATGGCTCTCGCAATAGACCGACACGCCACTTTATGGATCTCCGCACTTCCTTATGTTAAACATCGAAGAATAGGTAACTGATATTTCGTAAAGGCCCAACGAAAGGGACATGGCGAATCTTGATGGTAACAACTGATCTTAATATACACTTATACAATTAATATAGACACGCTTAGAGAAAGACTTTGTGAAACAATTAAGCAAAGCGAGAATTAATGTGCATAAATATAAAAGACTGCTCCCAGCACTGTATAAACCAAAATATATCATCCTTTGTCGAGAGAGAGAGAATTCGATAACTGATTGGTAGTGTAGTGGATGAAGTATTTATCTGGTCAATATCTCTTTATGGAATGTTTGTCGTGGGTGTGAGTGCCCACTGGCGTGGCTGGGTGCTGTAGGTGAGGTGGTGATCAACGGGGGAGTCGGTGGTGTTGCTGCTGTTGTCGTGCTCGTCTGGAGGATACTGACCATTTATGGCTGTCTCATTTTGTTCTCTGAGCCTCGGTGCTTACCGTGGTGGCGGGATTACCAGCAGGCGTTCCTGCCGCCATGATGTAAGCATGCAGCATAAACTCTTTACCAGCTCCGCGGCTGTTGTGGGGGGTCCCTGTCTCAGAAATTGTGTGTGCTCACAACTCTGTAAGTAATGAAACTGGGTGGCGTTCGGCTCACCACAATGCTTACAACACCTGTCTGCATAGTCAGTTTTTGTATGACCTGCCATGTGCATTGGTAACCTAGTCTGCTTCTGTGAAGAATGACTTCGGCACCTGTATTGATTGTTTCAGAGTGCCAGTGGCTCATAACCTATGGCATCTAAGTACCATCTGGCCGAGGGGGAGGATCTCGTTTCGTAGATGGGAAATGGTGGGGTCCAAGATCCCATAAGAACCAGGAGCAGAGCGAGAACTGTTTTATAGTTTTTTTCTCAGTTCCCTCAGAGAAAAGATAATATCTGAGTTATCAGGTTCGGCTTCCCTTTCTCTGGTATGAGCAAGTCTGTCTAGTTGTAGGCATTCTTGGTTTGCCTTCAGTTTCGGCTGACAGTCTCACACCATCCCAGCCACTTTTCCTGCCTGACTCTTTTGGCAGTTTTTTTGGGATCCCTGGCAACTTCCCCTAGGAGGGTTAGGTTGGCAGGGGTTCTTTGCCCTTGGAATTATTTTCTGCACATGTTTACTCTGTGGTTTGTAACCAGGCCGAGTTTTAGGTATGGTCTGTGAGGCTGGATTAAGCACTTCCACATTTTCACTCTGTGGGGGTTCACTGCATCTAAGACAGTGAGCCAAGGCATTCTGAAAGGTTTGTCAGTTGGCCTTGTCTGTATTCCATCTAGGATTTGTTTGTGGCATTTGGGTTGGGCCAGCATCCATGAGGGTAATATCAGTGCCAAAATGGTCACTTGTGACAGTCTCATCGACTCTATGTCTGATTCTCTCTATCAGAGCTGCAGTGGCCAAGGTGAAGTCTAGGACCCCTCCTCTGACATGCGTTGGCTCTTAGGTATTGAGAAGAGTGATCTCAGGGAAAGTCTCAGGTACATTGGCTTCTTCTTAGCGTCATCCCTATTCGGGGTCGCCGCAGCGCGTCTTTAATTCGCGCATTGTTGATTTTGGCAAGAAGTTTTACGCCGGATGCCCTTCCTGTCGCAACCCCTTTTTAGTCACCTTTTACGATCACGCAGGGGATACGGTGGGACTATATTCTAAAGCCAAACCCACACAGCTAAAAAAAGGGGGGGGGTGCCCGGGGCTTTTCATGTCGCTCAGCCCCGGGCGGGGGGCGGGGGGGATTCGAACCCGCAACCGCGTATTCAGCCCCGCGGTTGCGGCTCCGAACAGGCGCTTTAACACGCTCGGCCAAACAAGGTATCAAAATGATTGGTGTTTCAGGTGTAGTGGTCATTATCCTATTTCAATGTTCGCATCCCTTTCGAATGAGCAGTCATATATTTTGTTTTAATCTTTCGTGAGCATCCTTGCATCCCAACTAACAACCACTGACTCAAAATCGTAACCCGGAATTCTTGCGCAACAGCTGCGAAACTTGAATTGTTGCTCAACTACTTAGCGACTTTCTAGATACTTTGTTCCGGGATTGTTGCACAACAAACTATCTTGGTCAGGACGAGAGGATGAACTTGTTGAATTTTAGAGTCGTTGAGCAACTGTTTCAGTTACAGTGTTGTGCAACAAAGCAGATTGATCTGGACTAGGCTTTTTGGAATGCACCTACTATTGGGGGTTGTGGTTCACAGCCCCTGGTCGACAGCAAATGGTCGTCGCACGACAGTCCCTAAGAGTCACAGAGAGTTTCAAAAGAAATAAAGAAATGCATAAGAATACGAAAGGACAAAAATGACCCTCAATGCATGTTTTGAGGGTCTCCAGGGCAAAAGGAAGTCTGGCACAGGGTCGCAGCCAAATATAGGTTGGAGACACTGCTCAGGCATGGGCAATCATGACTACAGTTTTACACGTATCTGACACAGTACAGTAGTCTGACTACTGTAATTATACATGGTAATTTAGAAATATAAATCATACATCATACAAAAATAATACGTTGAAATGCTCTTGCCACTGTGTTTACATAACAATGTGTTTTTGTTTATGGCAGTTTTACATGGTGAATTTAGGATATAATGCGAGTATATCTTCCAATGTATCAGATGAAATTAAATATTCACATAGTTTTTTACACCTCATGTTAGGTGGTCTGAATGGCTGTATCATATGATATAGCGCTCAAGCGTTCGCTTGTTTTCTTCGTTACACAGTCTACATTTAGATTCATCTGCACGTCTTGCACTGTGCATTTGCCAGTAAATTCTGGAACATAAACGTATTCTGGCAATAACTATAATAACAATAACAATAACCCATAAGAGGGCTTGCTATCCCTATACTGATCGCAGTGCCTTATGGTACAGCTTTCAGGCCTTTGAGTGTTCGTCAGATCTACTAGTTCTTCCTTATGAGAACTTTTCAATATATGTGCAACCCTAGCAAGAGGCATCCCGAGATCTATGTTCACAGCATCTTTGCTGCAGGCTTCCTTTGCCTATTTGTCTATGTGGTCGTGCTTGCTTATGCCAACATACAAATTGAATGTTGAAATTGCGCTCTATTGCACAAGTTACGTTAAGCTTAATGCAACTCACAATTTCCTCATTACCACCTGCTTTGAAAGAATTTAGCTTCCGAAGAGCACTTTGAGAGTCACAGAAAACTATTCCAGAGCCCCGAGACTAAGAATTCCGTTGCAAGGAGTATACCTGCCAGTTCCGTTTGTCTAGTATGGGCCCAATTTTGCACTCTCATATTAACTTGATGTTGTAGTAAGCCATTTTTGTATACAGTAAAGCACAGCCAGCTTTGTATCCAGACTGTACAGATCCGTCAACGTAACACTCGTATACATCATCGCCCATAGACTGTGTGTGTTCCTTTACCGTTGCTAACGCAATTTATGCAGTTATGTGCACTGTTTTTTTGTGGTAGAATTTTTTCCATGGTGGAATAGATCGACCCTGTGGTATTTTACTAATTGGGACATTGAGCTTTGTAATGTTCATGGAGATTTTGGGTATCAGAGGGCGCGCGTGTGTGTGTGATTAGTCATGTCTGCTTGCGTGATTTCATGCTGCATTTGTTTTTGAAAGTCTGAAAGATACAAGGGTTCCCTCAGGGCTTTGATCCCAAATATGGTGGAAATAAACATTATTCTATCAGTGATGGATGGTATATTAAGTTCTGACCTCATGTTCACTATCCTTGCTGTTCTCAGGGCGCCGAGGACAATCCTCATGACTTCATTTTGCACTACCTCCAAGCTATTTATTTCTGCATGGTAGTCTACAACTGATCTTATGAACGCCAAATAAAACAGTCTAGCAAGCTTAACACTGATGCCATGTTCTCTTCCAACAAGAACTTTCAACGGTTTTAGTCTCTCCCAGAGTCTCTTTTTCAGGGAAAGGATCAGATCTGCATCATTTATGTTCACCCCGAGATATTTATACTTATGACACATGTCAAGCTCTTGGTCACTTATGCGAAAAGTGGGTAGGGGTATGATACATGGATTGAGAGCCATTGTTTTCTCAGCGGAGATGACTAATCCACATTCATGAGCCTAGTTGTGAGTTTGTCAAGAATTATTTGCATCCTCGCTTGTGATGATGCTTTGACACATATGCCATCAGCATAGCATATAATGGATTCACCATCCCCAAGTAGAATATCTGCCACCAGCTTGTGCATGAGGACATTGAACAACACAGGGCTAAGAACTCCTCCCTGTGGCATCCCAAGTTCAAAAGATTGTGAAGTGGAACTTCTCACTCCCCTGAACAAGACACTTGCACATCTGTTCGAAAGATACATTCTAATCCAACTCAATAATTTACCCGGATGCCAAAGCTTACTATTGTTCTGTTTGCAATGTCAAAAGCTGACTTAAGGTCAAGAAAAACAGTGTGCTTCCCTAGATTAGAGTTTGAATAGTACTTTGCAAAGCATTGTTGTGTGCTACGTCCTGATAGAAATCCGTACACTCTGTGAGATCATTTACTTTGCAACCTGTACCTGAGTCTGTTCAAAATTATCCTTTCTAGAACTTTGCATACACATGAGGTTAGTGAAATTGGGCGGTATTTATCAGTGTTTGGTTTCGGTATAGGGATGATTAGTCTGCGTGTCCAGAGCCAAGCAGAATACCTTGTAACAAACTTAACCTGCATAGGTGCAAAAGGGGATTACCTGAGCTATAAGGCGGAGGACACTATAGGTAATTCCATCCTCACCTGGTGCAGACGCTTTTCCTTTTCATTGTTCAGTTCCCACTCAGTAATCTCAGCAAAGTCTGAAGGGTCGGTCTGAGAACAGCATCTCAATGGTAAATTTACGGCCAATTTTAGACTGACTAAGATTTTGAATATTTGTGGGAAGTGAGCTCAATTTGGACGCTCCAGCCCATTGACTAAGGAGCATGTCTGCTTGTGCAAGAGGACTGCAGGGTTTTAGTTGCTTTCCCTGAGAGTCGATTATTTTTATTCCAGACCTCAGA